CTACGACCGCACGAAAACAACCAAACTTTGTAATACCTATACGTCAGCACGAGCGATCGGACGGCGATGGTGCGACATATATTATTACAATATTATAATACTATAYTATCGTCAATAGACAATAACTACTATTTTTTTTTGGTGGTGGCACGATCGCGTAAAAAACACGTTGGCTTGTACACTTTGTATGAACGAAAACAACTCTACTACGACATATGATATTGGGAATAACAACAAACAGCATTATTATTGTTATAAATTATAATTATTATTACCTCCCGTGCTTTTGTTTTGTTTTGTTTTTTGTTCTTCAAACAATCAGCGCGGTAGTCGCGTATTACATTATGAGCCCGTATAGTGCATTGGCGCCGCCGTTCGCACGTGTAACGAGGACGACRAGCGTGCGATTGCTATTCGGCCTATATAATATAATTATTTATTATAACGCATGATATACGACTTACGATAATATTATTATTATTTATTCGTGGTGTTATCAGCTATGCGTTTCGAAATCGGTGAGAAAAATTTAACCGAAATCACTCTCCGTCGATCGGCGACGAACTGTTTTATTATTATTATTCCGCGCTCGTTTATGGATCGTCGGGAAGGTGTAAGTTTTGTTGGTACTTCCGGTCGTCGTGTTGACGTGTTGTACGTGATAATAATATCATTATGCGRTGTAACTAAGTTATATTATAGAGCTAATACGCCAATACAAGTGTAACACTACTGCACTTTGTTCGAAGAATCGCGTGGTCGCGACATAATAGTAATAATAATAATAATAATAATAATATTACAACGCGGTTGGTGTACGTGCGAGAAAACGAGTTCCGCTTACCCACATCTCGCGCGGTTTGCTACTGAGTGTGTGTGCGTGCGTGCTTACTTGCTTGGTTAGGTTACTCAGCCGAAATCTTCGTTTCTCCATAATAATATTATTATTATCATTTATCATCATTCAGTTTTAAACCGTTCCCTTTTCGTAAAATAATGATTGCGACATAACATTATGATGATATCGTTGTTGTCGTCATCCGTCTGGCGTACCAGTACCATGTGCTTAAAAGTTCCRACATCGTTCACCCTCGTSCCCCATTTATATACGTGGTGCTCGAGCGTCTACGATTTCCAAACGAAACTACCGAGATGATCATAATGTTGACTATAATTTTTTGCTCGATTTCCGTTCGATTAATAGGCACAATACAACGACGCTGATCGAATATTCTCGGCATCTCATGCCCCGCCGATGRCCCGATTTGTAGACATGYAGTATTATTATTTTCACATCGAGCATGTCTTCGTTTATAATAAACTAATACTATAATACACGGGCAATGTACGGACCATAATACCTATTATAACATGTACGGAATGCTTGCTTACCCATCGTGTGTGTATAATGTATAGATCGGTAACGGAATTTCTCGGTTAGGAGAGGCGAAAAACAATCTCATCTACGAAACGAAAAAGTTCCCCTCACACTCACTCTCTCACACTCTCTCTCTCTCTCTTCTCATAATATCTCTCTTTCTCACACACACACTTTTCCTCTCTTTTGTGTCCTCCATAGCTAGGTCGTCGTACCCCTCTCCTTACCCTCGACCAATCCTAATAGACGACGGACAACGCACGTGTCAGCACACGCTGTAATAATATTTTCATGATTGTGAATTAATATTTAACGAAGGGAACARCTAATACGATATTATCACTGAGATGACTCCATTTTAACAATCCTAATCATAAACATTGAAGTGTGTCGAAATGTGCGGGCTCGACGTCGGAAACAACAACAAAAATCGCTCTTTTTATCGGCGATGGCGTAAAAACGACGCGTCGAGGTCGTCGCATAAACAAACTGCGCGTAGTGTTGTATTGTAGCCGTGCCATATGATGATGATAATATTATTATTGCGCCCAAACCGATCGTGGTCGCAAAAACAATAAATTAATATTATTTTCCAATAAACGGTTCGTTGGCGATACGAGAAACGTGACTGTTGTTGTTGTTATTATTATTCACACCATCGCTGTTGTATTATTATTTATTAAATTTATTTATTACAATATTTATTTACGATATT